GGGGGGGGGGGGGGGGGGGGGGGCGACGGAAACGTGCTGCGTTGGCAAAGGGGGTAGCGAGGGGGCAGGCAGGATGTGCGGGGATGTTCGGGATGGGTTTTTATGTGCGCAACATGCCAGCAAGGGGCGGCGTGGGCCGGCATTGCTGTGTCGACCCAAGCCGGTCTTCTTTCCACGCGCATTTAGGGTTGCGGCGGACCGCTGACGACGCCGGCGCTGTAATGTGCGTGCGTGGCGAAATTTCCCGACAGCAAGGTCAACTACGCGGTCCTCGTGCGCGGGCCACGCGTGGCGCGCGGCCCGCCCGCTTGCATCACTGGCCCCGCCACAGACTGGCCGACCCCAACTCCCCCCCCTGCCCGACAGCAAGGTCCACTGCGTAGCCCCACGCGATTTTCTCACCCGATGCGCCTCCTCCAGCAGTACACCCCCTACTCGGTCCCCTGTCATGCGCCGTGTCGCCCCGGAGCGCTAACTCTCTGATCTCAGAGAGTTTCAAGAATCTCTTGCTTGAGAATTTGGACCGGGGACGGCCCCTGTCGGCCCACGATTTCACTGTAGGCGGCCCGCTCGGGGCCCTTCTGACAGCAACCCAGCAAGTCATCACAGACTAACCGTGTTTCCATTTTTGAATTTTTCCGCCCTTTCCTCCCGGACTGGGTTCCACCCAATCACCTCATTTCTCACATTCAGAAGTAGATACAGTCTGGCATGAGAAATATGTCGACCTACCATATTCCGTTTTTTTCCCGCCTGCAGTTTGCAACAAACTTTCTCGCATTCCAACCTCTATCATCACCTACTGTATGCTGTAGTGTTCAAGTACAGTGCAGCATCACATTTCCCCGCCTTCATCATTTTATACCCAACTCCGCGCAACTCAAATTACGCTTTCCAACGCCTCACTAAATGTGATATCGTGCTTGAAACCAAGCCATAACCCACTATGTCAAGTTGACATCGCTATTGAATCCATCTTGCGCATTCTGCCAACAAAAGTACCGAGTGGTACATCACCCCTTCCCATTTTGGCCCTCATCTCTGCCAGCAGGTCGAGTCTCGACATGTAATCTCAAAGCCGTATCTCCGCCATCCCTCCGTCTTCCCTCCCACCACCCACTTCTCTTCACGAAACCCGATACAGATACTATCCGACCACTCTCCCGACCATATCAATCCCACAGTGCTGCTCTGACACTCCCCTACAGTATTCTTTCCTCCCCTGCATCGCACCCTGTTCAACAGACCTGAGACCTACGAGAAAACAAAGCAGCGTGACGTGCGGCACAGAACTCCCATCCTCGTTACCCTTCACGATATCACACATACCCTAAACTTTACTCACTTCCGTCAACGCGTGCCCTATCCAAATACAGTACAGGGGCGCCTCGACCGCCCTTGTGACGCACCAGAGCCTCCGGAGAGCCGCGGCACTACAGCCCCATGCACCTTTTTTACTTTCTCCGTTCAATCATGTCAAAAGGCAACAATTTTTCTATCCTCGTTGTCCATTCTAGTACTGTACCTTTCCTGCACTCGCGTTATGCGCCAACGCGCCAGTCACTGTCCTACGCCGTAGCTTTCCAGTTTCTCATTCTCGCCCAACTACAGTACAGTATTCTTCTCTCGCCCTCTGTTTACGTACACAAAGAGGTTTCTTGCATTGCTGCCCTTGTCTACAGTATATACAGTATCCGAACAACGCCTAATTCAATTGGAATGAGGCATCCAAGACCTGTTCCGTTTGT